GTTGGTTTCTTTGTTTCTTGATAGTTTGCTTTATATTTTTTTCTTGATAATCAAAGGTATATTTATTATTCCTATTATATTCCTCATAGGAATGCTAGATTCTTTAATAGATATTCCATAATAAACTATATCTTTTCTTTTAAAAGGACTACTTATTAAAGAATTGGACTTGAATCCTTTTTCTAATGTGAGGTCCATTCCTTTTTGTCTAATTCTTTTATATTTACTTTTATAAAATATATTTATTTAGATGTATTGTACATATCCTTTATATTCTTCGGAATATACTTCCCCTTCCTTAATGTTCTAATTCATCACTACTGGAAGCATCTAAACTCTCCACTTCATATATACTTTCTTCATTATTTATAAAGTTAATCTCTATTTCACTTATTCTTCTTCATAAATTTTTAGGTTTTTGGTACTTTCTCTTTTGTATCTTTTAGGACATTCATTTGCATAGTATCCTTCTTTACATAGCCAACATGTGCATTTCTTGGGATCCTTTCTATATCTTCTAGGTGATTTTTATTTTTTAAAATATCTCTTTTTCCTTCTAAAAAATTTGTCCTTATTAAACCCTTGTTTATTACTTTTTTAAATTCAAAATCTTTTGCTTTTCTTTTTATAGTTTGAATAACTACATCCCAACTTAATTGGATCACTATTTTTAAGGGAACATAGCCCTTTTTTCATGTTTTGTCTTAATTTGTTATGATTGTAGGCTTCTACACACCATTCATTAATCTTGGTTTTAGTGAACCAAATTCTTAGTCCTAATGTATCTTTTTTATCCTCTACATAAGTTCTATAAGTTTCTACCAATTTTATTCCCAAAGGATTAGGAATTTTTCCAAAAGGTAATTCCATTAAGCCTTTAGCCATTCCATGATTTGATGCTTTGTAGTAATATTTCTGGAACAAACAAATGCATTGATGTAGCTTACAAAAATTACATAATTCTAAATTTGCAGATTCTATAGTGCTATTCTTGCCATTCTAGCTCCTTCCTTTTCTTGATTTTCTTCGCAATTTTCTCCTCAAATTCTTTTCTAATAACTGATTCGAATCTAGTTATTATATCTTGAATTGCTTCATTTTAATTAATTTATTTTGAAGCAAGATTCCCACTAATGATAGTGTTACTTTCTTCATTATTTAGACCAGTAAACCACTCATGAACTATACCTCTAAAAGTAACTTCAATAAATCTTATTGCTTGTAAAGCATTCCAATTTTTGTTTACTATTGCTATTCAAGTGGCTTGAGCCTAGTCACTAATGATTTTTCCTAGATTTGTAACAAAGTCTAAATCTAACCAAATATCATTGGTACTAATCATTTGTTTTTTAACTCATTGGCGTTTCAAGTCTAGATTGATTCTCAAACCTTTAATTCTTTCTATCGCATAATGCTTCATGTGTTAGATTTCTATTTTTTCTATAGCTTCAGTTCATACTAGATTCTACTCTAGGTTGTAATGGAAATTCTGCTGGGTTATATTAGGATGTCTTTCATCCTTTTCTTCCATTTCCTCTTTTTTTCCTTCTCTTTAAGTATTCATCTTCATATTCTCTAATTGTTTAGTGGCCATGGTAATCTGTTTACACAAATTATCTAATTCTTTTACATTTTCTTCTTCTAAAAATCTTTATTCAAGTTCTTTCAACTTTTCTTATTGTGTTTTAAACATAAAAAGTGTTATTCCTTTTTATTTAGGCTTTTTAGTGAAAATCTTTAGAATTATTTTAGATCATTCATTTCTATCTACAATATTTCACTTGCTACAAACTGATATTATAGTGTCTTGTAGATCCTTGAGCTACGTTTGGATCTTATAAAAATTTTATTTATATCACTTTCCAGTTGTAGAATTATTCTATTATATATCTTTAATCTTTTATTGTAAATTTTTTAGCAATCACTTTCAATATCTTAAGAATTTTTTCCATTTTAATTTCTATATTTTTAATTCGAGATATCAAAGTTTTTGAGTTTATGATAGACTATATTTCTTTTTTTATCTCCTTGATCTTGGAATTTTTTACTTCATTTATTTTTTTTTAATAGAATCAAAATTTTGAGAATGAGATCTTCCATCTCTTTAATTCTTCTTAAAGTGCTTTATTCATTAATGGTTTTTATTTTTAGAATCTTATCAATAATAATTATATCTTCAATATTGATTATGTCTTTACCTAGTGTATTGAGTACATACACGTTATTCCAATTTATTAGTCTACTATTCATATTGCTTTTAGTGACTCAACAATTTCTTTTAATTTATTCATTCTTTGTTCTCTAAATATAATTTATTGATTATATAATCTTGTTATTGGGTTTATCTTTTCGTTCCCTAGGATTCTCTTCCTTAGCTGAATTAAACAATTTTCTTTGATTTTTTCTGATTGAGTCACTTGCTCAATTTGATTACAAATGTTTATTATTGTTCTTGTATATGTGGTAATATCTCCATTAGAATCTTTTGGGATTTAGCTATTTTGCATTCATTGAGGACCACTTCTGTTATCATTTGGTTTTTTTTTTTTATCAAGACTTAACGCCTTCCGTTAAATCAATGGCATAAATCCATAAAACTTTTGAATTCAAGATTATAAATGTTAAACTTATAAGTTTAGAGGTAAATATCTTTAAAGTTAGTAAGTTTAAGGGCATTTTATGGGTTTATACCCATAATAATGTACGAAGATCATATAAATTTATTAAATTAAATTTAATTAATTAATATTATATTAATTTATAATTTTTTAAAATAATTAATTATAATGTATAAAAAATTAATATTTAAATTAATTTTAATTTATTAAATAATAAATATTAATTATTTTTAATAATTAAATAAATAAAATTTATATTTTTATAAATAATATTAATAAATTAATGGCAACGCATCGGGCTGACCACATTCCACAAACTGACAAATGACAATATAACAGTAATTAGTTTCGGAAAGCACATTTAGTTTTTGTTTCTTCTTTTCTTTTTTGGTACATTTTTTCTTCTTTTCTTAAAAGAGAAGAAACAATAGGATTGTAATTAGGGATGGCAATTTGGCCCCCC